CTTATTAACAGTAAGCCACTTGCACTGACAGTAATGCAAAATATGAACATGTCAGCAGTTTTAGAATTCTACAGTGACGATCAGTGTCTCGATGCAGAGCATTCATTTAATTAGGAACTATCAAACTGGCCACAGCAATTTATTCACCTCACATCTGATATTGTCCTTTTATAATCTAGACATCAGCCATCATTACTATGTCAATTCAGTATTACTGTGCTGCACATGCTGTTGTGAGACAATGAGCTATGGATGTGAGAATTTTACAGTATTTTAAAAATAATTATGGTAATTTTAAATTGTACCCAAGCAAATAAATGTTTAACTGGCTGTCAGAGCTTTCCTCTAAACAAAGGAGAGGATGGCACCTAACTGGTCAGTGAAATAAAATGTCAGTTTTATCGTAGAGGTTGAAAATACAGGTGTGACCTGGGTTGCGACTGTCATACTGTGACACTCCATTAATGGTAGGAAGTGGCCTCCTGTCATGCCTCATCTCTCAGGTGTTCTTGGAATCTTTAAATCATGCTGCAGTTGTGGACAAATATCTGACCTCTTGTGAGACTCAGCTCACCTTCAGTTAACCTTAGCGACTGCAGAGGGGTCTAATGATTCTCCCTGTATGTCTCTCTCTTCCTTTCCAGCTCTCTAATGCCATCATTCCCCTGTGACTAGGAACCATACCATACCCATACCGTACCTGGGTTCACATGTTTCCATTGTTTCAGAAACAGAACATGCCTGGGGTCAGAAGCAGGTCTGAGAGGACGCTACTCTGCCCCCAACCTGGCTCTATACAGTGCCTAATAAAAAGTATTCACCCCCTTGGATGTTCTACATTTTTGATTTTATAAATCAATCATGGTCAATATAATTTGGCTTTTTTGACAAAACAAAAACAAAAAACCTGTTTAGTGTCAAATTGAAAACAGGTTTCTACAAAGTAATGTCAATAAGAAATGGGAAATAAATGCATAAATATTTACCCCCTTTAAAATGACTGACCTCATTCAACAGAGCTCCAGCCAGTTGGTGCTAGTAGTCTCACAATTACTGAAATGGAGATCACCAGAGTGCAGTGAATGTGTCTCAAGTGATTGTAGTATAAAGACACCTGTGTCTGGAAGGTCCAGTCACTGGTTAATCAGTATTCCTGGCTACTATTACACCATTAAGACAAAAGAACACTCCAAGCAACTCAGAGAAAAGGTTATTGAAAAGTATAAGTCAGGAGATGGATTAAAGAAAATTCCAAGGCACCGAAAATCCTCCAGTTAAATCCATCATCAAGAAATGGAAGGAATATAGCAAATGTCTAAATCTGCCTAGATCAGGCCGTCCTCACAAACTGAGTGACCGTGCAACAAGGAGACTAGTGAGCGAGGCTACCAAGACACCTGTGACTACTCTGAAGGAGTTACAAGCTTCAGCAGCCGAGATGGGAGAGACTCTGCATACAACAACTGTTGCCCGGGTTCTTCACCAGTCAAAGCTTGATGGGAGAGTGGCAAAGAGAAAGTCACTGTTGAAGAAAACTCGTATTAAATCTCAACTAGAGTTCATCAAAAGGCATGTATGTGGGAAACTCCATAGTCAAGTGAAAGAAAGTTCTTTGGTCTGATGAAACAAAAATGGTGCTTTTTGGCCATCAGACAAGACACTTTGTTTGGTGGACACCAAACACTGCACATCACCACAAACACACCCTCCCCACTGTGAAGCACGGTGGTGGCAGCATCACGCTGTGGGGATGCTTCTCTGCAGCCGGCCCTGGAAGGCTTGTAAAGGTAGAGGGTAAAATGAATGCGGCAAAATATAGGAAAATCTGGTAGGACAATCTTATTCAGTCTGCAAGAGAACTACAACTTGGGAGAAAATTTATTTTACAGCAAGACAATGGCCCGAAGCATACAGCAAAAGCTACACAGAAATGGTTTAAAGACAACAAGGTGAGTGTTCTGGAGCGGCCGAGTCAAAGCCCAGACCTCAATCCAATAGAGAATTTGTGGCTGGACTTGAAAAGACCCGATCCCTGTGCAACCTGGCAGAATGGAGTAAAATTGCAGTGTCCAGATGTGCAAGCCTGACTGAGACATATCCACACAGACTCAGTGCTGTGATTGCATCCAAAGGTGCATCTACTAAAGACTGACTTGAAGGGGATGAATATGTATGCAATCATTACGTACTTTTAGTTAACTGACATTACTATGTAGAAACCTGTTTTCACTTTGACATTAAAAAGGTTTTTTGTAATTTTTTTGTCAAAAAAGCCAAATTATATTGACCACGATTGATTTATAAAATCAGTAAAAGGGTAAAACATCCAAGGGGGTGAGTACTTTTTATAGGCACTGTATATCACTACATTCTGGTTTGACTTGAGCAAAATGAAGTGTCTACGCCAGGGGTGGCCAATTCCAGTCCTCAAGGGCCGCTGTCCTGCTTGTTTTCCAACTATCCCTGCCTGACCTGCTGCTGATTACCTGGCTCAGGTGTGTTCAGCCAGTCAGAAGCTAAGGGATAGCTGGAAAACAAGCAGGACAGCGACCCTTGAGGACTGGAATTAGCCACCCCTGGTCTACGCTCTTTAAAAAAAACGAAAGAAAGAAGAAGGAGATGGCAGTGCATCATAAAGAATTTAAAGGAAGCTGATACAACAGCTGTTTGTTGAATCCATGTTTGCTCTGTTGACATCAGTTCTGGTTGGCAGAAGAGGCACCATGATGTCCTCTGCAAGCAACACTCATACTGTACAATGGAAACGCAACCATGTATTGGGCCAGTAGCCAGCCAGCTGGCCTGAGTACGGTTCCCGGTGGCAGTGGAATGACAGCATAAGTTTCCAATCACAGGGGCTTTTGACCTTGTCTGTCAGACACACTGCAAAGATGCCATTAAGTAACACTGAATACTACCCTCCCTCCTCACCACTCATTCTAAAAATCCTTCAACCTTAATCAGCCTTTACATCAATGACCTTGTCTGATTATGCTCCCCACACAATTCCTACCTAGCAAACTCTCTTCTCTCTCTCTCTGCCTCTTGTATTCCCAGGTGGGCTTCACAATGCAGTGTCAGGAGGTGCCTGTAACAATACAGCACTTTCCTTGAGTCCTCGCCTCACTAATACAAAAAAAGTTTAGCCCTGTAATTAGCCCTTAATGCTACGTCAACTTGAATTATGTGGTGCTGATTTTAGCAAGAAAATCTAGATGTGGAATGTTAGACACAACACAGTGCTAATCATACTAAA